TTTAAGTTTTTTTGTAGTTTATACATGATACCAGTACAAAAAACTTTTATCTTTTGATAGTATCTACAATGTACTTGGTTGTACCATATAGAAACGAATACTTTGAATGATTCTAGGATTTAATTTATTAGGAAATAGGAATTTTGAAACTTCATTTGATACTTAAGTTATAATACTTAATAATTTATCTAAAATGTGAATGAAATGCTAATTATTAATATTAATTTTATAATTTACATATATGTAATATATCTTAAGCCAGTGTTTTTCAACCTTCTTGAATACGAGACCCCTTTACAAGTTAAAAAATTCTGGCGACCCCCCAGGGCCATATTAAGACTATATCAGTAATTTTAAAAACTACGTATTTAATTTTCTTTCTGTGTAAATATCGATCGAAAAACTAATTGTACTTTAAAATAAAAACGCAAAGCCTTCTCACTGAAATTGTAGTTTTATTTATTGTAGTGTAGGACGTACAAACACTTGTCTTTTTCTTTTACCCGCGACCCCCGTGTAAGGCTTTGCGACCCTGTGGGGGTCGCGACCCACAGGTTGAAAAACACTGTCTTAAGCCAATGGACCAGTGGATAATACCGCTGAATACAGATAGTTGGTTGCAGGTTCGTTTATGACAAACGAGTACTAGTCACGTGGAGTTTACCATGTTTTCTACATCTAAATAGGGCCCACTTTTCCATAGAAAATTCTCTCAGAAGACATCCCCCCTTAGCAGATCGCCCATGTGTTGGATTATATTATCCCATCACTCCAATCCATCTCTCTTACAGTAAAAATTTACTATTTTAAATATAATTTCATCATCAGGTTAATTTCATAATCAACTTGTCTACATTTTGAGTGATAAAATATTGCTGAAACAACAAAATTTTAATTTTAGAATTATCTATAATATTTCTCCTAATTCTTAAAACCTATTCAATTAATAACTTTACTTTTATACTATATTTTATTTAAATATTATATCAAATATAAGACAATTTTTAATCTTGGATAGTGTTACTTGGATCACGTTTCCTTTGAAGTTTTTATAAGTTAATAAATATAATAGAGGCAGTTATATACATCACTTGAATTTTTATATCTTAATTTAATCATGATATATATTCACGTCCTCGACACTTCTACTTAATTAATTCGTAATAAATATGTTTATCGTTGGGAATATCTTATATAAAAATAAGGTGTATGTCTGTCTGTTTTCATTTCTAAAACCTTTGACAGATCCGGATTAAATTTTTCAGAGTTTTTCTCAGGAATCCTGAGGAAATATTGATCTATTAATTTATTATATTCGAGTGTTGAATATTGTAATATCATCTATAATATGAGAATTCAATGTCAAATAACAAATATATTTATATTTAATATGCATTTTACTCATTATGAAATACAATTGGGATTAATTTCAATCAATTTTTCAAATCAAAATTTGATCAATGTCTCAAGGATGGGGCGGCTGGAACAATGTACAGTACAGTAACGTCAAAGATACACAGCACGAAATTTGGATCTTGAAAATATAATTTCAGAAAAACTAATTAGGTTTACAGTTAACGATTAGAACTACAAATAGTTTTTAAATTATCATTAATAGTAATTTTTATCAATAAATTTGATGAGCCTATCTGCACTTTTAATAATCGCTTAATCGATAGAATTTAATATAAATTGAACTCTGTATTTCCTTTTATCAATGAAAAAGTTTAATTGGAAATTATATTAGCGCATTCTTTCTTAATTTTTACAAAATTTCATGTTTTTAGTGATTTAAGTTAATTCCCATATTTTAAAGGGTTTCTTCGTAGTTTCGTGCTTATATTAAATTTTCTGTATATTGTTTCTGGAAATTTCTTTTCTTTTGTGATATTTTCACCTTGAAAACTATATTTACAGTTTACAAAATTTAGAATCGCTGTGTGTAATTATGATAAATGTAATTTGTTAAGAAATATTTCTGAAATTATTGAGTTTTTTAACGATAAATTCGCAATGGTTCGGACAGCATCAGTGAGAATTAGGGAATGATGAGACCCACGTATAAGGTATTTCTGGATTGGATATTTCTGCAGTGTGATTATCTGTTACTTTATGACGCTTTTTATATCAATTGTCGAAATTGAAGTGTCCTATCGTCTTTAGAGTTATGATTATAGACGACTTTCATGGCATTTATAAGCAGTTCTGATCGAAACATCGTCCCTATTCCTCAGTATCCTCACAAAAGAACCAAATCGCTTGCGAATCAAATTTGTCTGTAATGGGCCAAACTAGAATAGTATAGTATATAGCTTATAGTATAAGCTATACTATTCTATTGATTCTGATGAAACCAACTGAATAAATAGTCAATAAGTTGCCAAGTGTTGATATATGTCACCTTAGTGTGTCTGCAAAGAAACAACTATACTATTCTAGTTTGGCCCATTACAGGCAAATTTGATTCGTAAGCGATTTGGTTCTTTTGAAAACGAAACACAACACACTATAAGCCTTACAGTGTGTTGTGTTTCCCGATAATGAACCAATTACACAATGATGCTTTATAACTTCATTGGGCCAAGCGAATTTGAATTAGATGGTCGCATTACAGTGTTGACTTCAGACATTTTTCTTCGGGGGAATTTTTGGGGAAATATTTTCTTTTGGGGGTTCCTGTTGATGGTGTCTCCAGGCAATTGCCTCTTTTGCCCATCAGATAACGCGCCACTTCAATTAGCCTACACTGCTCAAATGAAAGAAAAAGCCAATTATGTCAAAGTCTCTTCTTCTCCTGAGTGATAGAGATTTAATTGAAATGTGAAAAGAATATATATTACATAGGCCTGTCTTGTACATCTGAAAATATTTTGATTTCAATGAAATTGTTCTGATTAATATTGAATCCCATGTTTATATTATTGAACATGTTCAGCAAGGTGACAGGATTCAAGACAGATAATACAATTACAGAAATTTTTTCGTAATTATTGAAGATGCAGTACATTTACTGTGTAGCCTACTATAACATTATCTTTACATTGTCCTGATACAGTGGAAGAAAATTTCTGATGATGTGTATTTGGTACAATTTTAAAGTGTACGTGATGAATTCTGTAATGATTTTCCCACAGGAAACTGTAAATAAAAAGAAATATTTCTACATATAAGTAAGCAAATTTTATACAAATTTAAATTTACTTTAAGGTAAATTTACCTTAAACATTTAAACTATGTTACACTGAAAGCAATCAGTAAGGTCAGCTTGGTGTTATCAAGCAAACCATTTTTCTTGGCTACACTAATATTTTCGTTAGTATAATAATATTAAATTAACGTATTTATGCTTGCGAATATAAAAACAGTACATAGGCTAATAAATCATATTTTACAATCGAATCCATAAACCGGTTTATAAGCTTTTCCTTTAAAACCACTACATGTACCCTATTTTAGAAATTAAGATAGAAAATAAAGTAATTTTAAATTTAAAAATTATCTTATTTTTCATCTATAACATAAAAATTTAAAAAGTCTATTCTTAAGATTCACATATTTTGTTTAATTTTCCTCCCAAACATTTGGATCATCTTCATTTACTTTTTATTATATCCTGGTGAATATACAGTATTAACAATAAACTTAGTTGAAAAAATTGTCCGGAAAATAAATTGGAAAAGGAGGACAAATACATGTCAGATGAATATGATATATAAAAATTAGGCAAGACAATAAAGTAGTCAGTCCATCATTAATTATTACATTTGATCTATGTCAATATAAGTAATAAATATTTAATTTNGTTTTAAAAAATAAACGAGTTTACAGATACAGTTTCTCACAGTAATTTTCCGTCATCATTATCGTGTTTAGATTAACAAATAGGAAGTTTACTTGGAAAATTTTTTATATGACATATCGATGACGTATAATTTGATTCTATCCAATGAGGGAACACGTCAGTAAATACAAAATTGGCTGCAAGCGATGGTGAAACGACATTCGAAAGAAAGAGAGAATTAGGTTTGACAATAAATGAGTCAGTCCATCATTAATTATTACATTTGATCTATGTCAATATAAGTAATAAATATTTAATTTTATATGAGCCTTTAGCAATTCGAATTGGGAAACTTTGATATAGATTTTGTAATAGACTATATAATTAGAAGTTATTGATATTTAATTTAAACATTATAAGTTAGATTTCATATAACATATTTGTTACAAATTTCTTATTTGAAAATGTTTTTATGTGAAGAAAAATTAATTTTTACTTACTGTTAGATATTTTATGTATTTATTGTTCACAAATTTAATTATAATTAATTGAATAAATTAAATTAAAAATAAATTTTTAATGAAGATTGGCAAGTAATTTTTTTTGCAATACTTTTTTTTATCAAAGGAATCTTAGATATAATCTTAATCATATTTTTAAGTTTTTTTGTAGTTTATACATGATACCAGTACAAAAAACTTTTATCTTTTGATAGTATCTACAATGTACTTGGTTGTACCATATAGAAACGAATACTTTGAATGATTCTAGGATTTAATTTATTAGGAAATAGGAATTTTGAAACTTCATTTGATACTTAAGTTATAATACTTAATAATTTATCTAAAATGTGAATGAAATGCTAATTATTAATATTAATTTTATAATTTACATATATGTAATATATCTTAAGCCAGTGTTTTTCAACCTTCTTGAATACGAGACCCCTTTACAAGTTAAAAAATGTAGAATGTGTCGAACCGCCAATGGGAGGTCTTTCAAGCCCATCGTAGTCCACAATGGCCCTCGATGGACTTAAAAGAAGGTCTTCTTAGTGCCCACTGGCANTAATACTGTATAAATTTCAGTTAATTTTATAGTATAATAATTATAAAATTTCCTTTTAATGGTTTTGAAATAGATAAACGTGATTCAATAGATATTTTTATTAATAAGGAAGTATGAATTTAAAAAAATTCTGTAGTTCTTTAAATAAATAATAATCATTTTCTTGCACATTGCATGCTCATTATTATTGTTGCTTTTTTAAATTTAATAGTTTATTATCAGGTAGGTGGTTCTTCCTTGTCCATTAAACATTACCTGTATTAAATAAATAAATATTTTAAATTAAATTCAAGGTGATATTCAAGCTTAATATTCTACATTTTAGTTTGATCACTTTATTAGGAATATCTGTAGAAACAATAAAAATTTAAAATCTTAAAGCAATTTTTTAGTGTGTTTATGCTTAGAATAAAGGTTTATAAATGAACTTAATGGCACTGATTTTTAATTGCTGAAATAAATGCATTATAAAGCTGTTTAAAATGTTTCATTGCTTTTTAGTTTTTAACTAAAGCACAAATTGAGTTTCAAAGGTTATAATTACTTCCCTATATGCACTAAATTTATAGTATGATTAAAGCTATATATTCAGTATTTTAATAAATTGCTAATGTCCCAAAATTACCAAAAATTTCAATAAAATTTTATAGTTTTAAAATTGATGAAATAATTAATTGTTGCTCAATTACAGAGAATAATTACAGTTTACAAGGATAGAAAGTAGAACACTTAGTCTAATTTACTTACTTCACTTTTAAAACATTTGACAAAGTAAATTAACTGGATGAATAATTCAGAATACCAGAATTTATTTTTTTACAGTTAAATTATTCTTTCCCATATTTTATAGGTAAACATAAATACATATACACAGGGGGATGGAAAGTTGACATACAGTTGTGAATCTGATAAATACAGATGTTTGGTGCTCATCATTATTATTATCTTTTATTATTTCATATTCCTTATTTGTGATTTAATTTATGTATAAAGATAAATGTTTTTCTTCTATTTTTTTTCCAAAATAACAACTGTAGGCTATATACCCACTTTTTCACTCCCTTGTATCTATGTAAAATATAAATTATACAGAATATGCTTTTTTAACTGTTTAAAGGCATCTGATTTAATTCATTTTTAGCATGTATATATTTTAAATAGTTGAGTTTTCTATACAACATGCATATATACAGTACATAGTATACATATATATTGTCATGCCCATATCCCAGATGGGATGGGCTATAATAATTATGATTTATATTTGGTATTACATTGACCCATTTTTTTTTTTAATTTAAAAACATGCATTTTATTAGATACAAATACAAAATTAAATATGTGCATCATCATGTGTGTGTATAAATGACACATTTTGACTCAAAATTTATTTGTATTGTATTTACAGCTTATTTTTCTTTCTTTCTTTTTTTTATTTTTTTTTATTTACTTATTTAGTTTAAAAGTTATTGCGAAATGAAAACACGTACAGTACATAAAAATGTTTTAAAAAATAAACGAGTTTACAGATACAGTTTCTCACAGTAATTTTCCGTCATCATTATCGTGTTTAGATTAACAAATAGGAAGTTTACTTGGAAAATTTTTTATATGACATATCGATGACGTATAATTTGATTCTATCCAATGAGGGAACACGTCAGTAAATACAAAATTGGCTGCAAGCGATGGTGAAACGACATTCGAAAGAAAGAGAGCTGTTTTCAGTTGTGGAATAGTTGAAACATTACAAATAGAATAATTAGCTAATTTTAAAATTATTTATTAGTTTGAAAATATTTAAATGTAATTGATTAATTATTACTATGACCTTGTGATCAATCAACAACAAAAGTGATGTATCAGTGTATAATTACAGTTAATAAGTGAATACTCAAGAACATTTATTAATGTATATAAATTTAATAATAATATATATTTTTTCTCTATTTTAAAGATGGCAAGTATGAATAAGAAAGAGAAACATACCAGAGAGTTTGGTGGTGGTTGGGTTCTACCTGCTGATCAAATGGATTATCTAAGAAGATATCCTTATGAATATCATGCCAGTGCAGGTTCTGTCCTTGAACTCTTATTTCTACAAAGGTACAGTATATAGGGCCTATATCAACCTCTGTATGTACAGTACAGTACATGTACAGTAGAAATGCATATACTTTTTGTTATTAGTAATCAGATTAATTTTTAAAGATGTTTTTGAAAAGCTATTTTAGAAAATGATTCATCAAAACCTCCATAATAACATTATGATAAATATATTTTATTGACAGTATAAATAGGTATTCCATTACATGTTTTAAAGTTTGTGTTAATAAATTTCATAATTTTAATGTAAATTTTATTATTATTGTGACTTTATTCATTCAACCTTTTTGTTGTGAATAAATCATCATAGAGGTTGTGCTATAAACACCAGATATTTTTAAATATAAAGTAATACTTCAGAGGACTTAAATATTAATTGCTTTGCTCAGGTACATTTTTTAAAATAGAGAATGAATATGTATTACAGTTACATTTTGTAAATGGCCATCGTGTCTTGCAAATTGTTCAAATTTAAAAATCATTAGATGTTTCTGGCATATCCTGTATTAACCTGAAACTATTATTATGGTGAAAACAATGCAACAATAAAGCAACATTCTGAAATAATTCATATTACTAAAAATGTAAATGTAAGCAGTTATCATTATGAAATTTGTTTAAATATACAGAAACTATTTTCTTATAAAAATTTAATTTATTACTCCCGAAATGTTTTTGGAAATATTTAGCACAAACAACTTATGATTGTATCAAAGAACTTGCAATATTATATATATAATAACATATGTTAACATACAGTTCAACTATATATACACATGCAGCTTTTTTGGGATCAAAATGAAAAATTTTGGTTAAACTCCTAAAGCAGAATATTTTGTTTTGATCTTCAAAAAAGCAAACAGTGCAGATTAAGAATGTTTAAGAATGAAGATGAATTAGCCACTGTGATTACTTGGCTGAATTAATCAATGCACATTTAACAGTGAGCAAAGTTTAAAAAGTGCTGACATTTTTGATATTTAACAGACTATGTTCGGATATGGACAATGGAATGCTAGTGTCAGAAGGAAGAATGAAGAGATAAACTTTGATAGAGTAAACAAGTAGTGAGGTGGGCTGTAATGGCAGCAGTTGATGTAAGAGACTAATATATGCCAGACATGTGAAAATGTTCTTTATTCAGGTTCTTTAAACTTCATCCACTGTTAAAAGTGCATTTATTAATTCAGCCAATGTTTAGGAAATAAATTTGGTTTATGTTTAGGTTAACCAATTTTTTTTCTAGTAAGTTCTCCATTTCTAAGATACAGGTATTTTTAATAAAAATCATATTGAAATTATAATTTTTATATAATTTGTATATTAAGAAATTCTGTTTCATTATGAGTTTATTTCATAATTTTTTTTATATTTTAATTTCCACATTATGTTCATTTTGATATCTGAATTTTTCATCCCTGAAAACATTTTTAGATTTCTTAGAATATAATAATCTACAGAGTATTTTATGTAAAATAATTTTTTCCTATGTAAAAGATGTAATATTATTGCAATAAGAAACTTTGAAAAGTTAAATTTAAAAGCTTTTGCATTGATGGATTCATATTAAAGACAAATATAAATTATTTGAATTTATACATTGAAAGTTTAAAAATAATTTTTTAACGATATTAGGAAAATTGTATATTTTCTGAGGATTGGATTCGAAGGACATAAATGGGGTTTCTTGGATGAATAAACCGAAATATTAAATGGTTATAAAAATGACCAAATATTTTCTTTTTCCTCAATATTTTTGATTTATACTCAGTAGATGTAACTGCCAATAAAAATTAGATTTATTCTATTTAACAGATTAGTAGTGTATTAAATCTCGGTTATTATAAAGCTCTGTTCTCTTAGTTATAATTCAGTGTATTTCTTTTCATATTGCAATATCTTTTAGATATCAATCATTCTAGAGTGCAGTATAGTCTCTGGGTACATTCGGAAAGTCGAACAAGTTAAACGAGAATGACGTCATAGTTATTCTTATTTCATTAGACTTTTCGAACAATTTGTTTATAACTAAATGGATGTTTTAAAATCGAAGAAATTAATATTGCTAGTGCAGCCTTATCCAAAATATTTTTCTTAGATTGCTTTGGGTGAACAGTAATTTCAATCATTTACCTTTTAATTCACAATTTAAACACTAAAGTAGCTTTAGAAGCATTGATATCGTTGGATGCCATTTTCTTAACGAAGTAAACTAACTCTTTCCTTCGTGAAAATTAGAGTTATTAGAGTTAGAAAATTAGATTCATTAGAGTTTCGTTCGAAATGTCATCACTGCAGAGCATGTGCACTGGGCGAGACTACTACTTTTCGAACTATTCATTACTAGCACGTTTAACTCATTTGACTTTATGAATGTATTCTCTGTAATCTGACATGATTGGACTGGCAGATGTTGGATTACTGGATTTTGTATGTATGTACTGTACGTACATACTGTACAGTAGAGAAACATTTGGTTCACAGATTAATTTATTGTATTAATCACAATTGTGCTTGTTTTGCTGATTGCACAGGTGACACACTAGTAACTATAGTCTATTTATCGTAACTTGGCACCTACTGTAAACAAAGATTTTGTCGTATTAATCCTCCAGAGATTTTCATTGGTCAAATCACAATTGGAAGTGGCTAGACACGTGTTGACCAGTTAAGCCCCTTTTTCTGCACGTGTTAAAATCTCAACAAGTTCCCACATTCATTGTTGTTCTTTTTCTATATGTTTGATACATTTTCTCTGTCTTTCTTCAGTTATTTGTTCGACAACACACAGTTTGAAATAATGATAGTTATTGTAATGAATGGAAAACGAAACCAAGACATTATAGTGCTCATGACCGGAAAAAGTTTATTTTTAGTGATTCGGAATGTGCAAATATTCATTAAAATAGTAATTTAACAAGTATGAAATAATTACATTTATAATCATTGTTAAGTGACTAGTATTTCATTAATGATTTTATAAATAATGAACGACTATTTTCTGCGGACGAATGAGATGCAACGCGGTTTCTAATTGATGGACGTGGGTTTAAGCCAATAAACAATGGGAGGTGTGTCTTAGTTTGTTTACAGTAGGTGCCAAGTTAGGATAAATAGACTATAGTATACAAATACATCAGTCTCTCTGTTACATACATTAACAAGTGGTAACACAAATTTCATGTGCATGGCACTGCAGAGTGTTGGATTATTATACCTGTTGGACTGTTAAGTGACAGACTATAGAGAGACTATTGTTTTCAATAATTACAGATGAAAATTTACAGTTACCAATTTGATCTACAGTATTTTCTTTATGGTTCAAAATTCTGATAATTGTCATTTCTTTATAAACATCAGTTTATAAAGAAATTTACATTAACTAACATAATTTAAAACATTTTCTTGGGAGAACATGTACATATATTTAAAATCAATATATTCCTTAAAACTTTCTAGGTTATGAAAGTTAATCAAACATTTATATTATTTTTGTATTTTCTATATTGCTATCGCATTCACTTTTAATCATAAATTTTTTTCACTCATTGAATTTTTAAGATTCCTATTTAAGAATATTTAGTAAACTAAGACACAGCTTGTTAAACCTGTTTGTTAACCTATTTTTCTTCATTTAAAGAAGAAAAACATTCAGAAACTTAAATTAGTGTAATTTTTTTTAGAACAGATTAATATGCTAGTTTTTTAAGTTTTGTTTTAGGAATGTAAGGTAGATATCTTTCCAATTATCTTAAGTAAATTTTTTATACTATTTTATTTTTTTAATTCTAACATTATATATGTATTCTGTAATGTTAGAATTTCAAATGAATTTTAGAATTTCTATTCAAAGTTTCAGAATTGAGTGTCAAGAATATTTTGCAAACTAGTCTCTATATGCTAAAATAAATATGGCTAACATTTGGTCTAACATAACAAATGTTTGCCTGTTGAATTTAATATAATTCTAATTGTAGAGTAATTTTAGATTGTGTAGAGTTTCCAATTCAAAACCCTTTTAATCTTTTAGAGCAAAACGAACTATTAGCTATTATACAGATTGTAATACTATGAAAGGTCTAATAATATTGTACAGTACCATCAGGTACAATACTTATTAGACTCTTTACTATATTGCAAATATAAATCTAATATTAATATAAAATATAAATCTGATATAAAAAAATACTGCACCATTAGGTGCAGTATTTTTTTATATCAGATTTATAGTACTGTTCTGCTTCTGATAAAAAATTTTTCTTAATTGTGGAGTTTTGTCTTTTTTAGAAAAAGATGGTGATAATCTTGTTGATTGTGGTTTTACTGTTGCAAAAGAACTTAGTAACATGGGATGTAATGCTGTAATGCCAATTTTTGAAGAAGTTTTTAGTTGAAGAGTTTTGTGAGATTAGCCAGGGCGTAAATCGAAGTCTACGCCACTTACGGCGCGAGATCGGCTCTCAACTTTTTTATTTATTTAGGAGGGCTTTTATGTTTAAGGATGATCTAGGCTGTGTAGTCTAGATCTTGACACCAGTTTGTCAATTTATCGATCCGCGGACAAACACGCCTATGAGATCTGATTCGGACACAAAATTAAGAGACATTTTAATTAAAAACGAAATAATAAATTTAATAAAACAAGAAAATAAACTCATACAAAAATGTGAACGAACGAGAGACAGAACTACTACAAATAATATACAAATTGAATGATATCTATACTTATCTTATACCCAATTCGCGATCGAGAGAGAGAGCTCACAAAATCATTATAAAACATACAACCTGTTTCAGTGGTCGTTCGTCGTCTTCTCTGTAGGCAAGGGACACTTTGGAATTAAAGTTCATTTACTTCTTTCCATGGGCGATCAATATGTGCACAATATCAAAGTAAATTTTCTAAGTGTAGACTCTGGACTTATTCTAAGTGACTCGACTAAGGGCGTTGGTCATCAGGAGGAAAATGTGTGGAGTTTGGACGCTTCCAGATCTGTCGCTGAACTCCTTGAATTCGGACAAATTTCCCTTATATCTCAGGATTTACGACCAATCATCTGCTAGAAACTCGTTCGTGTGAACGGATGAAAGGGGAATCCAACAGGGGTAGATAGTTCTCATCTGAGCAAGATTTTTAGCGGATAAGGGAAAAACAGAGGATGTACCACTTCCCTCAAAGGAAGTAACATCTGCTATCTATCTTTCCCACGTCCAAAACATTAGTTTTCTCACAAAAATGAATTAATATTTTGTGACAATATTTTAACATTATTAATAAAAATTATTAAATTAGACCCAGGGCCTTTAGGTTTTCACAGTTTCAAGAAAATGAATTAGTTAGCCATTTAAGAATTAATTCTGGAATTGGCTTTTTCCATATAAAGCTTTTACATTATTTTGAAGGAAAAATTCCATATTCATCTTTATGCAATATTAATAAAGTTTTCAAAATTTTTTCCTTTGTAACAAATTTTTCTTTTGTATTAATTATACTTTAAGTAAAATACCTGCAAAAAAGTTTGCAATTTCACTTATGCTTTGAGTCAAAAAGATTTTAAATTGTAATAGTAAATTTTATTATTAATTTTCAAAGAATTATACAGAGCAGTTAAACATAAATTTATTTTTGCTTATATATCCTTTGTGATTAATCTTTTATATGTTGTGTAAATCATGCTAGTCTTGAAAAATAATGAGTAAAATAAAAATCATTCAAAACAAGTTTCATTCTAGATAATGCAATTAAAATGTACATATTCAATAAATAGTTCTTCATTTAAACTGTAGAAAAGTATATTCACATCTGTGTGTGTGTTTTGTTTCTTTGAATATCTATCCAGTTTTTTAGAAGAATGTCTATTATATTTGCATGTACCATACATGCAAATATTCTTTACTTTTATACAGTTTAAATACAAAAACACACACAAACACAAATATTTACAACAAGAAATAGCCATTTGTCCTTGAATTTGAAAATAATGTTTGCTTGTTATTTAATTCATATTTGTTGGTATGAACTATTAGAAAATATGATCTCTCTTATTTGAGTTTCTGAAAAAAATTTTGATTGTAGATGTATTTTATTTCTATCAAACAAGTACTTAATTGACTTATTAATAAACCATTAGGTGTTGCACATAAATAAGGAAATTTTGAATTAATTATAATACCTGTCTTAATGTTCCATTCTGATTTTTTATTCTTATTATGTTCTCATTATTGACTTATATGATATGCCATATGCTATAGGTTTAATGTGTTCAAGAGTGGTAAAGTTATATGAATAAAGATGTTCAGCCAAGGCAATATAATTAGATTATTAATAATTAGATATGCAAATGTTATAGAAGTTAATTATGGTATCCTCATAGAATGTTTTTTTTCCATAGCAAAGATTGTGTTTGTTCTTGAGTATCAAGTTCAAGTTGAATAGTTTCCTGCAATAAGACCAAAACATGGTTATGTAAAAACAGGAATTTTTTTTTCAAATTTGAATATTTTTTAACGACAAACTTGCTTGTGGAATGCTTTTGTCAAGTACCATTGATAATAAACAAATTGTGTGTGTGTTTTTTTATTTAAAACATCACTGTGTTCTTGTAAAACTGAAAAAATTGGTATGCAAACATTAAATTTTAAAAGTGCATCAAAATCCATTGGAGGTAGTTTGTTATCATTATGTGTTTTAAATGAAAATTTCATGTACAGTACTTTTTCCTTTCAGCATTTTCATCTATTTTCACAGTAATACTTTATATACAGTGCTTTATATAATTCATTACTGTTATAATCCCCAAAAAGTATGGAAGAGCAAATATATGTTTGCATGATGCAAAATTAAAACCAGTTAAGTAATTGCAAGTTCCTATTTCAATCTGAAATGACAACCTGCATTTTTTACAGTTTAAAATGCTATATGTGATGAAGGCATGGTACTTTTTAGTTTTAGCAGATCATTATACAATGACTGGTTTGACATGTTAGTATCAAATATTTTTGCATGTTGCTAAAATAGACAAAAAGTCTTGATATTGCGCAACTACACACTTGCTTTACTTGCCTAATCGTAAAGGTTAAACAAGTAAAGCAGAAATATTCTGAGTAGTCTACCATAGCACAATGGCCTCCCAGAATCAAATAGTAGCAAATATATTTACACTATAGTACATATTCTTTAGATATTGTGTGTGTGTGTATTAGTTTACTATAGCATGGTATCTAATTTCATTTAAACAAGTTATTTTAAATGTTGAAAATTAATATATACAGGTAACCCCCGTATAACACGGTAGTTACGTTCCAAAAAATTGCCGTGTTATGCGAATCCGTGTTATACGAAACAAAGAACTAATACGAAAAGGAGGGTTAGGTTCCAAAAATTAAAAAACATGCTAGTATATTTTCATAATTAAGATAAATATCTTCATTAAAATTTTTTTAAGTGATACATATTAATATAAATTAAACAATGTTTTCTTCGTCATCACTAAAAACACTATTAATTAACCGAGAGCGTTTTCTTTTTGGCAAGTTATCCTTATCCTCTGAGCATTTTTCTGCATTATCTTCAGATCCATGCTTTACCTTTTGCAAAATGTATGTAATTTTAGATTGCTTGCTTCTAGTTAAAAGGTCTTTATAAATTTCCTTATATGGTGCTAAGCACTTATGAAGAATAAAGCAAGTATGGAATAAGGGAAAAACATTCGGCAACATCAGAAGCAGAAGCGTCGCGATCTGGCAACATTGAAACAAGTTTCGAGAAGGACCACGTGTATCGACAGAAGGCGAGAAGAGAAAATTTACATACTTAAGTACTAATAGTTCACGAAAATAATAATTTTCGTGAACTATTATTACTTAAGTATGTAAAAATTTATTACATTTCCTGTTGTACGAGGGTTTTACTCAATTCTCGAACCGTGTCAGAGTGAATCCGTGCTATAAAAGTACCGTGTTATACGGGGGATGGTACCAATTCTCGAACCATGTTAGAGCGAATCCGTGCTATAGAAGTGCCGTGTTATACAGGGGTTACCTGTACATGAAATTAAATACTTGATTTATTTAATAATCATTTTAGTATGACTTGGTTGAAACAACATTTAATATTAAATGTTTAATAGCTATGATAACACACACACAGAAATAAAAGATAAATAAACAAAATTTATATCTGAATCTTTTTTATTATTTAGATAAGATTTATTTAATTTAAATTTTGAGTTTATAAAAAACATTTTTTAATTTAATTAATTATGTTTTAAATTTTATTTTAAGGTTTTGGACATGGTTGGTTAGATATATTCCTACATCTGTTGCCCCTTGTGTATTAACATGCTCAGGATTAATAATTAATATCGCTTGTTGCTTAATAGTTGTTCATTATAGTCCAGATGCTAGAACAGAGGTAAATATATTTAATAATTTTTAAATATTTTAACTATTTTGTATATAGTGTGCTAATTATTTTTTATTCTGACATATATAAGTTGTGACAGTTGTTATTAATTTTGGAGAATTTTGTTTATTCATAATGGGCATCACTTTTATTTAACTTGATTACTTTATTTCTACATAATCATAATCATTAGAAAAGATGGAGAAGTAAGATTTAAAATATACCTTATATATGAGTGTCCTGTTGTTGTTTTCAGTTTTGCAATATTTTTATATAATCAAATGAACAACATTTATAAAATAGTTACAAAAAAGAATTCTGATTAATATATACAGTCTTTTAATTGTTTCTCTTTATCAGAAATTAAAAATGAGTGTATAGAATTTTTAATGTATTTTTAATGACATTTTTTAATTATTAAACAAAAAAAATTAATACAAGCATTTTGAAAATAGGCTAAATAATGTTTGAGAATTTTCTTAAATTTTGTAAATTAAGAAAGTAGACAATTCATAAGAGTGTCTTCTCACTTTGTCTTTTTTCACACACATTAGGAAATGACAGAGTTGACCTTTCATTTGAGGCTACTCGACTGTATTTAATAAATAATATTTCATTCACAGCTTGCTTTCTTTGAAAATTGAGCTTTTGTAAGCTGCAGTAACATTTGTTTCATGTAATTTTATATAAGCAACAAATTACAATATGATCATTTTGTTTAAATCATTGCCTAAATTTATGCTTTTTCTAAGAAAGAGAGGTTTTTTTCTTTCTCAGTTGATATGAAATAATGTCTGTATATATTTGAATGACTTTTAATTTTGATATAAGATGTATTTTTGTCTATTGCATGATTTCAAAAGACTGTGATGTAAATGATTTATAATGATATTATTTAAATCTGCTTTACATATAAAAAGTTAATAGATTTAAACACTGTACTATTTTATCTAAAATTATTAATACCAAAACAATTATTACAGAAATATAGAATTTTCAGTAAGTATTTCTGATATATTCTGTAAAATTAAATTATTGGAATAAAACTGGTATTATTTTTATATGTAATTCTAAATGAGAAATTAAACATAAATTCTCTAAATTCAACATTTTGTTTTTATTTTAGATGTAATAATTTTTCTAAAAAAGGATTGAGTTTATTCTTCCTATTTTAAAGTTATATGTTAAAGTGTTAGTTTAAAGTTACATAGTAAAGAGAATAAAATACAAAAAATATTGATTTATAAAAACCTGATTAGTTTTAGTATCTTAATTTATTTATAATTTTTATTTGTGAAACTTTTAATATAAAAATATTTGTTTTTAATTCATATTTTTTAAATGTGTTAGTGTAAATATTTAATTATTTTATTATTGTATACTAACAGGCACCTTGGTGGACATTTTTATTATGTGCAGTTGGACTCTTTATATATCAAACTTTAGATGCAATGGATGGTAAACAAGCATTGAAAGTGCAGAATACTCAGATTGAAGAAGTGTATGATCATGGTTGTGATGCTGTTTCTACTAGTAAGTATATATTTTTAAAGAAGAATGTTGAATTTGTCTTTTGAAATTTTCAAATAACTTTATTTAAAATTTTTTGTTTGAAAAAAAAAGACCTTTCTTGAACATCATTATTTTCTCATTAAAATTTAAATTTTATCCAGGAAGTTGTAATCATAATAAAAATGCTTTTTATACATACCACAGTAAAGTTTGATTAAACAAACAAATTATTTCTCTTGATTTTATAGTATTTGTTGTCCTTGCTGCATCTATTGCTTTACAACTAGGAAATGCTCCATTCATGATGTTGGTGCTATTCTTATCATCAATGTTAGCATTTTTCTCTACTCATTGGCAGGATCATATAACACACACAATGGTGTTTGGCAAGTAAGTTTTTTTAAATTTTTATAAATTAATACATTCAGTTTTAATTGATAATTATAATAAATTTCATAAATTACATAAATAAGAAATTTTTGTTTTTAATGTTTACTCTTATTACATTTATAGAATATAGATTAAATTTATACAAAAATTTATAAATTTATTTTTATAATCATTTAAATGTATTAAATATAAATTATAAAGCTTATTTATGGAGATTATTAACTTGATCTAGTTAACTTAATTGGATAGAGATATATTAAACATTTTTGATAATATAAAGATATTTTAATTTCATTAAAATTTTATTTTAAAAGATCTTGCATGTAATTTAATGTTTCACTTGTTTATATTTCATAAAGCATCAACATATCAGGTGATGAGAAATTTTTAACATTAAAAATTTTATTGAACTTTGATTTTAAATATTAGTTTTTTATACAAATTTTATATTAATACAAAATAAATCATATGTTAAATATAAGCAATGAGCTTCCATTAAAAGATAAATTAATACAATGAATAAAAATTATGATGATAATACAGTTCATATCAAGAATAAATTCAGTTGTTGAATGAATTATTAGAAAATTATATTCTGTTCATTCCAAAATTCTGTATGCAATGTATTCATAATGTAATTTTAAACTCTCTATGTTTTATGAAATAGAATATTTTAATTTTAAAAACTGTTTAAAAAATATTGTGTAATAATTTTCATTTTAAGCATTAGAAATATCTTTGGAAAAAATTTTGATGTTTATATGTCATGAATTGCTAACAATGAAATGCTGATTGAATGATATTAGTATATGAATAGTTGTTTAGCCTTAATAACATAGGAGAAGACAAGTTAATGCTTTTACATTGAAAACATTAACTTACTAAACCAAAATGTGAATATTTTATTAAGTGAAATTTTTGGAGCAGAGTTGATATACTTTCTTTATATTAATAATAAGTCAACTGTTTCAACTGTGGCATAAGATGTTTCTGAATAAATTGTAACAGTGTAATTAATTAATTCATTAAATCCAAATTTTTAGAAAAATATTGATTTTTAAAAATTTACATAAAATTTAACTTTATTGATTTAATTCAGTAAATCAATTTTAACGTGATTAAAATGAATTGAATAAATCAATTCTTTTTAATGTACTGCAAAAACAAAAAAATTAAGATTTGACTATATAAAGTCCAGTTGATTCTATATGGAATCTTGATTTTATGCATTCTACTGTATACATTTCTGATTTTGAATTTTTATAGTAAGAAACAACTACATAATTTGATATATGGTCATTTAATATTTTCCATATATAATTGATATAATTATATTTAAATAATGATTTACATTTTATACCTTTTTTAAGTTGAAATTAACTTATATGACTGATTACATGAAAACTACAATTTGTTAGAAAAATTTTAGATAAAGTTTCTTCAATATTTTTAGATATATATTTAAATAGTTCTCTTTTTGAAACACAAACTTCTCATTTGTTAATAATAAATTTAAAGAATCTAAAGCAATGTTTTATTTTAGTATAAATTATAAAATTCAGTAATGTTTTATAAGTAACTACTACAATTTTTGTGAGGTCCAACTTCCAACTGGTTATGTTAGTTGTATGCTTTTAGAAAATTATTTAAAAGTAATGTAGCTTTTTAATGCAGTAATTCTACAATCAAATACACATACAGTACAGTACAAATTGTTTTACTCAACAACTATGCATTTGTAAATTTTTAATGTGTAAAAAAAGTTATAAAAAGAGTATGAATTAAATTTGATATTTTTTACATTCATAAGTACCTGATAAAAATAAATAATTTTTGTAAATTAAATCTAAAAATATTTATTCCCTAAAATTGATTGGTTTAATTCAGAAATAATACTTCAGGTAAAACAGAATGAATGTTTTATTCAAAAGCTATTCTCTTCTCTTTTTTCAAATTAATTATAATAATAGCAATCTTTCTAAAATGTTACTGTACTACAGTTCTCATTGCAAGATATTCATGTTCATTACATTGATTTTCTTTTTGCTAATTTTTGTCTTAATTCATTTTTTTGAGTTAATTTTTGTTCTTTATTTATTAATATATTTTATTTTTTCCTGTTATTTTTTTCAATTGATCATAGTTTTAACTGAATAAGATTGATGCTATAGAACAATGTTTTGATGAGAAATAAGTGTAAATACAAATTTAAAAAAAAATTGTTTTACAAACAATTAAAGGCACTTTAACATGATTTTAGTCAGATATTTAATTTTGTGTTTACAAATTTTTAAAGTGGAAGCCATTGCTTACTTGATATTTAAATTAATTTATTAATTATTCTTAAGCTATTTTATTATGATAATTTTTTTTATTAATTTATATCAATTTTAATTATTTATAATTTTATTTGTGTTTTATTTTTATTAAATTTCTCAAAATTTAAATTATCTTTACAATTATTATTTTCAAACATTTTAATTCACAGCTTTACTAAATATTCTGGGCTGCCAGTAAAAATAAATTCAAATTTATTACATTGATCTTAAACATATTTAATAAAAATTATTTGGAAAAAGCATAAAATAACATAACTTCAATATAATAGATTTATAATTGTTCAACTAAATAATAATCATATCACCAATTTAATTTTTTGATGTTTTCAAAAATGCATAAGATTTAGTTTACAATATCTAATATACTTTACATCTTAATCTTTGAGTAAGTTTATATATTTAAAAAATCTTTCAAAACAATCTACTATTAATGTAAAATTTTAATCAATAATTTTTGTAGAATTTTATTTTATTTTATTTTATTTGACATTTTAAAATTGTTTTAAAGAAGAAATAATTTCATTAATTTATTTTATATTACATTTGAAAGTTTGCAAGTTAATAAATGTATCTATTTATAGTCTAATTAAAAACAATATTTATTTTAGATAAAGCAATCAGTGCTGAATACTGATGATACAAGCTCAATCTAAAATTATAAAATTCAAGTGCAATTTAGTTCTTACTTTTTAAACAAATAAGCATCACACATTATAAACTTAAATAATTAGATTTATAGCTTGACATTAAAAAAATCAGAATTTTTATTTATATAAAACATTTCATTATATCTGTTCAACTTGTATTTTTAAGCACCATATAATAAAATAGATCTGCTAGTTTGAAATAAATAAAAATCTATAAATTTTTTGAATATTTGAATCTTAAAAAAGTGAAATACTAAGAAATTGATTCAGTAATGTAACTATTGTGCTTGTTTTTTAATGTAAATCTTAGATATAACTGAATATAATAAATACTATTGATAATTTTATAAAACATTAAGTTATAATTATTATATTGAAGTTATAAAATTGATAAATATTTTAATATTTCTATATTACACCCTTTGGCATTCAGCTGTTTTAACAATGACAAGACACCAGAACTTATATTTTATAATGCAGGAATTTATAATTAATATAAAAATACTTTCAAGATTTAAAAAATAAATTATACAGGATAATAACTAAAAATTATAATTATAAATAATAAAACACAATTTTGAAAATAATGTGGCAATTTTAGCAAAGATAATAATAATGATTGTTATTGATGTTAAAATAGTGATTTATATCAAGCACGGATTCAAGATTATGAAATTAATATGTGGAATATAAAAATAAAATTATCATTTACACACAAATTGTATGTAGTGAGAATGATATATGTAATTACTATTATTATTAATATATAATAATATATTTGATGATGTAATAAATGAATAATAAAAATAAAACTATAATTTTCTAGATAAACTTTTAACAATGTAATACATTCATCATCTTTAAAAAATGTTTCAGTTTTGTTATAAAATCAAGTAATGTCATTTAACAAGTACATCACATGATAAGGAATGAATTAATTATTGAATATCAAAGGGTTATGTGCACATTTCATAATTTAAAAAACAAATTTTGTATTTGTAAGAATCTTAATTTTTAGATAATTCCTGGCAGCCTTGAATCTAACTTAGTTTTATTATAATCATGGCAATCTGCTCTGCCCTGTTATAGTTTATCCTCTTACAGAGCAGCCAAAATATGTGGATCATCAGATTGAAAGGTGTCAAGCCAGCAAGACAGCTTGGCTATAATTGTCAGGTGAAAAAGATGTCTGCTTAAGGCATACATTAAATTACATACAGAAATTTGCTTTTTATTCTTTCTTGTCAGAGATGTCAACAATAGGGAACAAAACAGGAGACAAAAATCATGTATACATTGTCATTATTTTGGTATGATGTTTGAAAATATAATTTGTTTAGAAATAAATAAAAGATGATTCTAAATTTTGTTTGTATTTAGTTAAAAATAAAATGTCTCTCAGTACTTTTTAATATTAAAACAGTAAATTTACTGCATTCAGTTATGTCACTCTTAAACTGAATAATCTAAAGGTTAAATATGTTATAAAAATAGTTTTTTTTATTACCAGTAATGAAACAAAAATTCTCATCACAAATTTTGGTTCAATTAACAGAATTTTTACTGTATATTTTTTTTAACAACAATATTTATTAATTAATTTTATTTAACAGATATATTTTATTTATAGAATATTATTTTTTTTTATTAATTAGTCATTTAAATTTTAAAGTTTAAGTTTGATTTTATTTATTTTTCTTTTAGTCTCCCAATTTGTATTAAATAGTTGGCATCTCTGCATTTCTCTATAAAGATAAAGATATTAAAAAACAAAAAAGAAATGAAAAGATTTTTGGAATGTGAATTTGCAAATAAGTTTTTAAATATATCTTGCTTTCAGGTTAAATTAACTTATCTTCAATATAATAGATATTTATGGAACATTTTTATATAGTAAATAGCAGCATTTGTAAGAGATAACATAATAATTAAAAATAAACTTTCAAATAATTTAATATGAAATTTTATGTTTAAACTTAATTTTCTTTGTCCTTATTTTAAAATTTAATGAACGAAAAATTAGAAACTTGATTAAAACTATTTTTAGTATTTGAAAAACTAGACAAAATTTCATTTACATAAAACTATGTATATGTTTGAAATGCATTGCTTTATAATAATTAGATATAAAATAAATTGACTAAACGTAGGCAGTTAGGCTGCCATCTCGTGACAGTTACTAAAATTTTTGAGATGGCAGCCTAATTTCCTTTTAATAATTATAAAACATTTAATGTTTTTAATTTTTTATTTAAAATTTCTGGAAGAAAACAATTGGTCTGGAGTGGAAATCAAACTCATAACTCCTGCTTACCATGTAGCTGCATTGCCAATAAAAGCCCAGTAATATGGGAGATTGTTGGGCATNTCTATAATTTCATATCTTCTATTATCAGGACTTATTATACTGGCTTTACAGATAATGCTACAAAGTTTAACAGAAAACAATTTTTATTTTATTCCATATACCATATACAGGTATATGGAATAAAATAAAAATTGTTTTCTGTTTTTATTTTATTTTGTTGTCTGAATTTTTATTTTATTCCATATACCATATACAGGTACTATATGGAATAAAATAAAAATTGTTTTTTGTTAAACTTTGTAGCATTATCTGTAAAGCCAGTATAATAAGTCCTGATAATAGACGATACAAAATTATAGACGAAAATTTATATTTTTAGTAAGAAAAAGGACATTGAGGTATTTTAATTGAAGAGAATAATTGTTTTATTTTTTTTTATGTATTCCCGTCTTTTCTTTCCTCTCAAACTTGTTATTCTATTCCTATCAATTTTAACTTTATTGTAATATATTTCTGTAAAAATATATAAGACAATTCAATAAATGGAATTTGATAACAGAGATTAATTATGGATAAGTGTTCTGACATTATTTATATAGGAAAAAGAAAATAAGAATAATTTATATATTAGAATCAAATCTTAATTGTTATATGACCTGAGAAACTAATTTATTTTATGCATCTTTAAAATGTATTTTTTTTAGACACAATGAATTAAAAGAAATATAAGAAAAATATTCAATAAATTTTGAACAGTTTTTTAAACATGAAAATAAATATAAAAGCATGATGAAAAAAGATGTATGTTTTACAGCTAAAGCTCATGAATTGGATAAAACTAGAATTATTCAGTTAATGCTAACTTTATCTAACAAGGGAACCGAACCTTATGGTCTCAGAAATTCAGTTCGGGATGAGACTTTCCAGGTTAGTAGTATACCTCAAGGATGCCCACCCAGAAGAATTGTAAAGTGCACTAGCCAGAAGATTCCAAGAAAAAGGGCTCTAAAGTTTTAAGTGCACTTCATATACTGCTTGATTTTACACTATTATAATAACTTTTAAATAAAGTTAATGACCTAAAAATATTATCAATTAAATCATAAATAATAATCAACAGCTATCCTCTACTCTTCCACGTAGGAACCAGTTCCTCAAATTTACAACAAATATTTTTAACCTCTTCACAGCTTAAAATATCTTAAAATTTGTAATAACTTTTTAATGACAATAGTAATTAAAGTAATTTTAATTTACCTCCATTAAAAATGCATTTGAAATTATTCAATAATTTAAAAATAGAATATTATCTTTATATTGTTAATTCACATTTTAATTAGCTGAACAGTCATTTCATAAATAAAATAAAATTATTTATGATTTAATTGATAATATTTTTAGGTCATTAACTTTATTTAAAAGTTGTTATAATTTTCAAAACAATTAAAAAAAAAAAAAAAAAATTAGCTGAAGATAGGACCAAATCTATATTGCACACATGGCAAGTGAGTTTGCTACAGACTCAGCCATTTTGCTGTGTCATAGTGTAAAATCGACCAGTATATGAGCTGCACTTAAAACTTTAGAGCAGGGGTGGCCAACACGTGGCGCATGCGCCAAACTTGGCGCATTGGACGATTACAAGTGGCGCTTCAGTCGTATCCGAGCTACATTGCCGGATTCGACTGCACTGTATACACATTTCGGTGGAGTCGATCTGTTGACCCTTTTTTTTTTTTGCTTGTACGTTACACGATGCACTCGTGTACACGTACACCACTGATGTCATATAGGACTACTTTATACGGGTGGCGTAGCTCGTACCCGTGTAAGATAGTCCTGTAACAAATTATAGATTATAAATAGTTTATTCTTGTAAATTAAAATACCTAATTAACGGGTGACCGAAATTTTTCTCCGCCCCGGGCTGCTAACACTCACGGTACGTCACTGCGCATCTGAACTCGTCTGTCAAAAAATTGGCGCATGGTATGCAAAAGGTTGGCCACCCCTGCTTTAGAGCCTTTTTTTCTCAGAATCTTCTGGCTAGTGTGCTTTACAATTCTTCTCGGTGGACACCCTGGAGGTATACTACTAACTTGCAAAGTCTTATCCCAAACTGAATTTCCAAGACCATAAGGTCCCCTTTTAAGTCTTTTGGTTAAAGCAAGTAACAATCTGCTTATTTTGAACTTATCCATGTAAAGTGTGCTCTATTCAAGTCATGAGTGGATAAAACTATAATACATCATCCAAAAATGAACGGATGAGGCAAGGAAAAAAATTAAAATCAGCACTTTGTCTGGGTAATGGGTAACAGAGGGAAAATATGGCAGTCGGCCAAAAATTGACCTCCTAAGAGTTTTGGACTCTGGGTGTTAAAACGTCGAGAAATGCAAAAAGATTCAGGAAACTAGTTTTCATTGTTTCAATGGAACTGAATGTAGAATTTGCATATTTATACACATAAGGATTTTGTTTATTTAGCTACTGGGTGAATAATGAAATCTGGAAATTTAATGCCAAATTTCAAGCCAGTTAGCAATATGGTAACAGTCTTTTATTCAGTCTGGTGATTTTTTCATGCCTAAGATGAACTTGTTAAACAGAACACAGCAGATATAAGAGCATATAATTTCGTAATAGATATTTATGGAACATTTTTATATAGTAAATAGCAGCATTTGTAAGAGATAACATAATAATTAAAAATAAACTTTCAAATAATTTAATATGAAATTTTATGTTTAAACTTAATTTTCTTTGTCCTTATTTTAAAATTTAATGAACGAAAAATTAGAAACTTGATTAAAACTATTTTTAGTATTTGAAAAACTAGACAAAATTTCATTTACATAAAACTATGTATATGTTTGAAATGCATTGCTTTATAATAATTAGATATAAAATAAATTGACTAGACGTAGGCAGTTAGGCTGCCATCTCGTGACAGTTACTAAAATTTTTATGAGATGGCAGCCTAATTTCCTTTTAATAATTATAAAACATTTAATGTTTTTAATTTTTTATTTAAAATTTCTGGAAGAAAACAATTGGTCTGGAGTGGAAATCAAACTCATAACTCCTGCTTACCATGTAGCTGCATTGCCAATAAAAGCCCAGTAATATGGGAGATTGTTGGGCATTATTAAAAAATGGGGTTTGAGAATTTGTTTGTATGTATGGCTTTATATTATTGAATATTTTTATATAGAATTGAATGATAATTGTAAATTCTGGTGAATGTAATTTAGTTTAGAAACAGTCTTCAGACCACATTGCAGGCTTATTTTAATAAAAAAAATCTGTATTAAAAACAGTCATGAATGATAATTTTATCTTAAAATCTCTTAAATTTTTATAGATATGTGAAGAGAATAATTAAAATANAATTATGTAACAAAAGTTTTATGATTTAATATATTTTTAATGATTAAATTTTATATAATGTTATATTATTTTAATTTTTATAATAATACAACTCCTACTCTGTGAGCACTGACAGACATTATAAAATTTCATTTGAAAAACATCTTTAAAATGAAGAAATCAAATTATTTTAATAGTATTTTACAATTTACAGCTCATTAATAACTCTTAAATTTGAAAATTCTTAAACAGAATAGTTTTCTTATGATAATTACAATTATTTCCTCTGACTTCTTCCTAAAATTAATTTTCCAACCATTTATTTTTCAACCATTAATTGAAGGAAATATTAAATCACAAATGTATATTTTTCAGTACATTGATATAAAAAGCACAACTTTAATATTCTTTGTTTTTAAATAATATTTCAGTATTGTGCATAAATAATAATAATTAAAAATTTGGGCCATCATGTATTTTTAAATAAAAATCATTGTTATATTCATTAGTCCATTCCTTCAATTATTTGTTGATCATGTAAAGGAAATGATAAACAATAATTTTAGTTTAATTCTGGAAAGAACAAACACATTATTTTTATTATTCTAACTGTACTTTGTTGTTGTTGTTGTAGGTGCTTTTAAAGTTATTTTCTTTATAACATTACCATTATTCTATTTATGTATTAGGATTTGAAACTGGAATGGATTAATTCTAAAATATATATTTTTTTATCCAAGATAAAAGTTTGTCAACTTTTAAAAGTAAAAATGAAGTTTTTGTTCTTCCTAAAAGTATTCACTATGGAATTGAATATTTATAAAGAAATGATAAATCAAATATAATTAAATATTACAAATTTATCTAAATTTTTTTCAATTCTGTGAAGTAAATAATGTATTAGCATTTTTAAAATAAGAATGTTATATTTTCTTTCACTTAGAATTGATGTGTCAGAAGTACAGTTTTGCATAATTATAATTCATCTGTTGACATCAGTCTTTGGACAACAAGTTTGGCAGACTGAGGTAATATATATAATCATAATAATTAAGATTTTGTTTGTAATTATTTTGTAACTTCATGAATAATTCTTTGAAGAAGTTAGGTGATAAATTACAAATAGATAATATTTTTGACTGTAATAAAATTATGTATCTCCTTCTCAGCAATATTAATTATAATAATAAGAACACACCTGAATTCTATTTGCTGAGTTTTTTCTCTTTATTTCAAATGTTTTCAGCCTATTTGGATAGGCCATCCTCAGGTTTTCATTCATTGTTCCAAAATTTCATTCATTGTTTGATTTGAATATTTGAAATTGTTAACAACTTTTTGTATATTACATAAATAAACAAAATAAATTAGCAAGCATGGCACAGTCAGATGGAGCAACAATCAAATGGGATGAAGCAAAGATCATAAGAACAGTGCACTCACCGTCCATTGCAATGGAAATGGAAAAAATAGAGGTATACAAAAGTAAAATGAGGAACCATTGTCTAAATGCAAAAGATGCAAATGCATTACCAACAGCATGGAAATACAAAATCGAAAAGTGTATGGGTTTCAATAATCCATAAAATGGGAACTGAAGGTTATAGGAAGTTATTATATTTTAGATGCATGTAAATTTGTTATTTAATTTTTGCTAATATGTAGCACGTTTAGTGACATATTTTATTTATTTTGTTTATTTATGTAATATACAAAAAGTTGTTAACACATTTCAAAAATTCAGATCAAAATAAAATTTGAACAAATGGTTCCATTTTGGAATGATGAATGAAAACCTGAGGATGGCATATCCAAATAGGCTGAAAATGTTTGAAATAAAGAGAGAAAATTCGGCAAATAGAATTCAGATGTGATCTTATTATTATAGTCAAGAATATTATAAAATTCTTGCTTGCTTAGTGTGCAAGATTACGTAGGATCAAATAAAATTGTCTTACATTGTAATAGCATATATTTAGTGATATGTCTCCTGACTTGTATCCAATGCAGAATAACAGTTGATGAAGCAAGATGATATTTATTTTTTAAATTAATCTACTATTAGCTTAAGTGTAGAATGATTATTTTTCAAACAGTTCAATGGAGTAAATATGTGTTTTTAATTTAATGCAAATGTTATCATGAAGCAATATATGCAGTTTGTAATATAAAAATTCCATTTTAACAGCAATGCTATATATGTAATATAAGAATAGAATAATTGAGTATTTCAGTATAATTTTGTATGTTTTATAATTATATTAGGCATGCCTAAGATTGAATCAATTTTTGTGTTTAGGACTGCATTTATACAATATTTCAAAATTTTTTAAAATTAATATAATCAATTATTATAATATATGATAAATAATAAAATCGGATGTGAAGATTATTTACAACTTACTATTGGAGCATTTTAAATAATTAGCATATACTGTAAAATTATAATTAATTATATTTAAGTACATAAAGAAATACCTTTTATATGCATTGTTCATAAAATTTTCTGATTTACAGATATTACCAAATATTCAAATACGTCACGTGATCTTTGCTGTAGCTGTTATCTCAGTGATCCAAGTTCTGATTGTAAATATTGGCTACATATTAGGAAAAAAGACACCATTGGATGACTTTGCTAATATTCCTCGCAAAAAGGTAAGATAGTTTTGTGTTATAAATTATATTTATTGTATTTGTAGGCAACCTAATTTATAGTTATATAGAAGATATAACTATATATTTCCTACAATATTATATGGATACATCTTCTATATAATTTCTATTAGCAATATAAAATTATATAATTAAACATATTTTATTTTCTTTGATATATTAAAAGTAAACTTTTTAAATTGGTTGGTTTATACAGTTTTATTAAATTGATTTTATAATTTTTATTTTTAAATTGTTTTATTTGAAAGGGGCCACAAATTTGGAATCCAGTATTCCCTGTCATTATATTGATTTTATTAACTCTAAAAGCCTATGCATCTGGAATGTTTGCAGTTAATTGCATTGTTTTCATACTTACTTTTGGCTTTGCTTATGCTAAATTGACAACAAAATTAGTGGTAAGTATTATATTTTCTTAAGACTGATTTTTTTGGTTTTTTCTTACTGTTTTACAATCTAACTATTTACAGTAAACATCTGCTAACTCAGACTAATTGGGGTGAAAGTTCTCAGAGTTGACAAAAATTTGAGTTAATTTGGTGCTTTATCAGATAAAATGGAAAATGAGTTGGATGTACAATAATTTATTATAATCAGCACTGTACAGTTTTACTTAGCTTTAGTAGGTTACACAGCTGTATTTATGAGGGCCATTCTAAAAGAAAAGAACGTTTTGATCTGACAAGCTGCGCAGTTCTCCCACCATTCCCCACTGCCAACATCCACATGGACCTGCCCATTTTTTCATGCCAGTCTGACGCTAACAGCAAGCTGCAACGATTGTTTACTGTTTATAGTGTGACTTTGAAATGTGCGACAAAATCAAAGATGCCGCCAAGTGTGAGGTTTCTACTGTAATAAGCTTTTTGAATGCAAAAAAAAGTCCACCCTATTGAAATTTACAGACAGATAACTGAGGTTTACGGTAATGTGATGAATGAAGCTTCAGTTCAAAACAAATGGTGGGGATTGTTGTCCAGAGGCATTGTGCTTCTTCAGGATAACACGTCTGCATGCTGCTGCGTTGACGAAGAACTTACTTCAGCAGTTTAAGTGGGAAGTTTTTGAACATCCTCCTTATAGCTTGGACTTGGCTCCAAGCAATTATCATTTTTTCCCAAAATTGAAGGATTTTTTGGTTGGAAATCACTATGGAAGTGACAACAAACTGAAAGAGGCCATTAATGACTGGTTCAAGAACTTGGTGGTAACTGACAAGGGAACTGTTGGAGTGTCTTCTAATAAATTTTAATAAAATTTAGTTAATAACTAAGTTAAAAGTATACAAACTCTATTTTAAATTTACTTTCACTAAAAGTGTTGATCAGAGTTATTAGCAATCAAATGTTGCACTATATAGTAGTTTAACACAGTTATGCAAGTTTTTAGAAGTGAAAGGGTCGTGGAGGAAGATGGCGATATTACATTTAGAATAAATTCTGGAATTTTCAAAAATGGTTGAAGAATTTATAAAATTTTGTATACTTTTAACATAATTATTAGCTAAATTTTATTAATTCTTCTCCTATTTTTGAAAATTCCAGAATTTATTCTAAATGTAATAGCGCTGTCTTCCTCTGCAATCCTTTCACTTCGAAAAATTTGCATAACTGTGTTAAACTATTATAAAGTAGTGCAACATTTGATTGCTAATAACTCTGATCAACACTTTTAGTGAATGCTACAAATTTAAAATAGAGTTTGTATACTTTTAACGTAGTTATTAACTAAATTTTATTAAAATTTATTAGAAGACACTCAGACAGTTTCCTTGTGAGTGTGCAGAAGGCATAGAAAAGCTGATGATACACTATGACAAATGTTTAAATTTGTATAGTGACTACGTATGAAAATAGCTAAGGTATCATGTGTGTTGTAAAATAAGCTTTGTTTCATTATCTTAAATAAAATATCTAGAGAAACAAACATTCTTTACTTTTAGAATGACCTTTGTATTATAAGAAATGAGGTTAAAAAGTTTCATTATAATGCAGAATAGAGTCTTTGGTAACAATATTGATTACAGTAATGTAGTGCATGATATTGAAAAGACTTCTGAATATTGAAAATACTCATTTATTTTTCTTTGTCAAGAAATTTTAAATTACTGTACTATTTTTTAAAATAATTTGTCTGAGTTAGCAGAGGCTTACTGTAAACTATTCTTGAATTCATAGCATTTTTTTAAAAATGTAAAATAAATTATCAGTTCAAAATGATTAAGTATTTATTAGGTAAAACATAAATTTTTTCTAACATTTCTAATATAGTATTTAATTTCATCTCAATTGAAGATATGCAAATTAATGTATTACAGTGAATAAGTGCTTCAAAAGTTACATTAATTATTCCTTTTAAAAACATTTCTATTGCTGCAAACTTCACAATGCATAATCTTTAATTAACATCTTGTTCGATTTGAGAATGCATTGTTAATAAATATATTACAGTATATTGTTAGTCCACTAAAGTTACATGATGATATTTTAAAAAGAATATTGTAGCTCCATTTTGTACAGAATCTGCAGTATATTTTGAATATAATGTATGAAATATGAGAATGTACATTGAAAATGAAAATATAAATTTTCATTCCTAAGAATGCCTTATTAAAATCAAAGAAAATACTGTAAAGATGATTAGTTTGATGTTTTATTTTTTTTATTCACTAAATGTTAGCATTACTGCAGATTTCTTAAAATAATTTACTAGTTAATTAGTTGTGCCAAACAATAATAGTTGCCTACTCTTGAACTCTTAGAATAAAAATATTCTTAGTCAAGTTTTCTTATGCTCTTAATATAGCTTAATAGTCAATATATTCAGGAATTTTTTATAAAATAAGAATGTATACTTAGGAATTTTCCATTATATGGGAACTGATTGCATATGGATAATTATATGAAAATATATGAATATAATTATCCATATATTTTCAGAAAGTTAGAAAGAGTTTACTCTCTGCAGTTAGTGATATTCAAAGCATTGGCATTTATATTTATTCTTGCCACTTTTTGGTTTTATATTATTTTTAATTCATTAGATATGCAATTAAATATTTTACAAAAGAATAATTATATAAAAGTATTAATTTGATGTATATAAAAGTTGCTACTTCAAGTTTTATAATGAAAAGAAGAAATAATCAATTCAATTATAAGTTTTAGTTTACATGAATCTAAATCAAAATGGAAAACTCATATCTGAAAATTTGTTTGTTACAGTTTGTCTTTTTATCTTAGATTTTAATGGATTCTTATTGCATTGTATACAAGATACAACTGTTACCTCAAATAATTTATTTTTTGATAACTTTCTTACATTTTTGTTGCCCGTAAGATATATAATGGGTGTTCAAATGAAAAGGTACAAAACGATGTCGCAACCAAACTGGTTGAAATGGGAATATGCTGCTTTGGGATACCATAACGAGACATCTAGGGATGTGAATGTAGTATCTGGCATGATTGTGCATCATGCACATGCACCCACACATGACGCAGGAGAGAAGCAGGCAGTTGTGTGTTCTTTCCAATTGATGCAGCAGTGTGTGTGAGGACATCATGGTGTTCAGATTGCAAAAGTCGATGATTGAGGAGCAGCGAGGTGTTATCAGATTTCCATCAAGAGCAAGAGTTTGCACGGAGGGAGTGATTATGCTTCACGATAACGTGCGTCCACACTTCTCCAGGGTCACACAAAGTGTAATGGCCAAGTTCAAATGGGAGCAGCTTGAGCATTCACCCTGCAGCTTCCATCTGTTTGGTCTGCTCAAAAAACATTTCAAAAGGAAGCGCTTCAACTCGGACAACGAACTGAAGGACACAGTGGAGGACTGGCTCTTATCACAGCCACAGGGAATCCTTTGGCTCGTTAAGCAGTGGGATAGTTGTACTCAGGCCTCTGGTGATTACTTTGAATAAAGACTTCAATTATACCCACAGTGTTGTTTCGTATCTTTTCATTTGAACAACTCTCGTGCATTAAAGCAATTGCTTCATATCTAGTTAAATAGGAAAAAAATTCTTAAATATTCTTTCTTTCAAGAAGTATATTCCAGATCTGACATTTTCAAATGTGTTTTCTCTTAAGATATTTTTAGAAATTTTCTATAATGAAAAATGAAAACAATTTCTTTTTGTTCATATTTTTGATTTTGTATAATTACAGAATTGATAATCCTTTCTAAATTCTCCAAAAAGAAATTTCAATCAAATAAATTTTATTATTTATCTTTACAATCATTTAATTTGGAAAGAATAAAAATTTATTCTTTCCAAATTAAATAAATTATTAAATATAAACTTACTGATATTACTTTAAATTATTTTCAATTATACTTAGACTTGTTTGTTTTCTATTATTTCAGATGACAAATGTCTCACGTGGCGATATGGATCGTTGGGATGGATGCTTAGTAGCACCACTTTTGCTCTGTGTGAATGCTTTCTTATGGCTTCTACCAGATCATACTGCTTTGCTCTGTACTCTGGTATGTATACTATAATTCGTTACATACTGATTTTTAGTTTAATTGTATCATATATTACTGTAAATTATATTGTCATAAATGTACTGTAAGAATAATAAAAAGTTTTGGTTAAATTAATATATTCATTCAAAAAACATATCTTATTCTTTCATTTGCAAAGAGACGTATATGGAATTAAAAATCATATAAAAGATCTATTCAAAATTTCAATTGCATGAATTAATCTTTGATATAATTGATATTGGTATAATTTTGCAACAATGTGAATAATTGTGTAGCATTATTATTGGGTCATATCTCTAATTCAAGAAATGTTTATTTTTTAAATAAAAGACTCAATCTGTATGTTAGTTAATTATTGCACATTGCCCGTCTGTGTAAAGTAATTAGCGAGTTTTTCAAATTAGAATTGCTTTTGATTATAACATTACATTAAGACAGCCAAATGCCTGAGGCAGTAAAGGAATCAGCTTGTTACTCTGAGGGATTAGTTCAAGTCTTGGTGTAGGAATCTCAGAAATTTTTTTAACTTATTTATTCTGGATATATCAGGTTTCATTCCTCACTATCTGGCACTTTTAAATGGACCTGGCTGAATCCATGATTGACATGGGGGGAAAAGGTTCTCTTAGCAACCACAGATTAGAGTTTCAAAAAATAATAAATTCCATAATTAAAATAATACTGCAATGTATTTCTATTTATATGAAATAGTATAACAGATAAGATAATGATAAAATTATAAGTTTAAGAAGCCCTGTTCTATTCCTTCAAACTATTGGTCGTGATCCCATTTGGGGTCATTTAGCAAAATCTTGGGATCACGAGATTTTAATGCAAAATATTGAAAATAATTTGTGAGAGTTTGAAAATGGCACGCTTTGTGTCATAGGTTTCATGACTTGCACTTTGTGTCATAGGTTTCGTGAGTTGCGCTTTGTGTCACTTCTGGTGCAGTGTGACAATGATTCAGCAACACTGTAGTGTGAACTAGTATAGTGTTGTCGCTTTTCAGTGTATTCCGTTGTCTCTGTTCCATTGTAACACAAGAGTGAACTGTAGTAGTACACCATTATTGTTTTTGCAAATTTGTATATATCTGTGATTTTTTTCACGACCCAAAAAATATAAAATAATCATAAATGGGGTTGTAAATAAAAAAAGTTTAAGAAGCCCTGGAATAGAAAAACAGTTTTGGAGGTTAAGTGACAAAGGTATGGTACCACATGCCATTTTAAACTAAAATAATGATATTGGGAAAGGTGTAGTGTGAGCTGTGGCTGTCTTGAAATGAAATCAGTGATTACTGTCCAGAGAATATAGAAAGGATCCTTAACTTATTAATTCCATTAATAGATATGGTAGATATGGAATTTTAAGGAGGCAAGATTGGTTGCTAACCAATCTTGCCTCCTTAAAATTGGTTGCTAACCAATCTTGCCTCCTTAAAATTGGTTGCTAACCAATCTTGCCTTCTTAAAATTGGTTGCTAACCAATCTTGCAGAGGCTGACTGTCCATGTTGCCTGAGATCTAGAGCAAGTGCAAGAAGCCTATTAGCCCTGGAAAATCAAATTGATGATCATCATTAGAATTGCACATTCCAAAGACAACTGTGCTGTAAATTCTAAATAAGTGATTAAAGTTGTATGCATACAAGTTACAAAGTATCCAAGTCATTCAGCTAAAATGATAAACCATGACAAAATGAATTTGCACAATCTATACTTTCACATAATAATGAGGATAATTAATATTGAACTAGTCTTTTTTTTCTGTTGAAGCAATCTTTCATCTAAGCAGCAAAGTCAACTGACATATCATTTGAATATGGGAATCTGAAACTCATATAGTATTTGTGATAACTCAAAGATAAATATGTGGTTTGGATTGATTCACAACAAAATCATTAGCCCTTTTGTTTTCAGCAAAAAAAAAAAATTTATCCAAATATTTGATTGTCTTTTTGTATCTCTGGGAATTAAAACCTCAGGTCATATTTCAGCATGATGTCCCTTTGTATTAGGGTTTGTATGTTTATACCAAATTGAATGAAGCTGTTCCAGATGGGGAGGACATTTCTGCCTATTCATCTATCTCATGGTCTTTCCAATTACTAAACATTATACTTCCTACATTTTTTCTTTGTGAGGTTACATTAAATATTATCTACATGATACTAACCTTCAATTTTGTTGTTCTAAAAAAAACAAAATCACTGATACTATGCAAAATGTTACCATAAACATGCTCAATAATATATGGTATGAGATTGAATATCAATTAGATATGTTGCAAGCTATTAACAGTGATTGTGTAGAGTTGCATTGAAACATGAATAAAATCTATTTGTGTTGTTCTTTTATTGTTGTGAACTGTATCATCTTAGATCAATAATTTCTTCTGTTACACTGTTTCAAATTGTGTGCAGGACTTTGTGACTGCCCTGTATTTAAAAATTTTTAATGTTTAAAATATTTTTAAGAACATTAGGAAAATTGAAACAACTTTTTTTAACCATCATTTACATCAATTATTTTTATGTTTAATAGGTGTACAGTTTGATGGATTTTGCTCGCTATTTCACATATGCCAGTTGGGATTTAAGAGATGCTCTTGATCTCTGGATTTTCTCATTGAAATATCCACCTGGTCATCCTCGATGTCGAAATGGAAATTTGGGATATTATGTTAATGGTCTCAATAATGCAGAAATCAAGGAGATGGCACACAAGCAGCAACATTACATGGCAGGTGCTGGCTTTGCAAGTGGCATGATTCACGGTAAAGCTTGCCTCTCCGCTTTCAGTCATTGAAGATTAAATACGAAATTTAGAAGGAAGTACAACAATTACACAAAAGTGCACAATAAAGAAACCTGTAGAATTGCAATAATGGTTCGCCTTCAAAAGGCAAACGGTTGAACATAGCAAACTGGAAAGTTAATATTTTACAGTTTAGTTTATATGTACTAAAATCTATACAACTCAATTACTAACAACTACTAGAGAATTATACTTTAATATTTTCTGTATAATAAGTAAATAAGATATCCTGATAAAAGTTACATGAAGTAGCTAGAATTTTTAAACGTTTATTTAAATTATTATTTTAAAAGTTTTTAATAGGTTTGTTATAGCTATAAATGATACTTATGTAAGTAATGTTTTTGAAAGACATTTATGATTATGATTTTTAGGTAAAGTACAGTATATGGTATTTATTGCATTGTGTATAGTAGTTAAAATTTTTCATGAATTGAATCAATTGTATTATTTAATATACAAATGATTTTGTCATTTTTTGTATAATTTATTTTTGTATATATTATTTTGCATTTTGTATGCATGGAATTTATGTATAAAATGTGATGTTCATTTTAAATTTGTTTTTCATCATTTTTAAATATCCAAACTTTAGTTTTTTAACATACAAAAGAAAGAATTATTAAACAGAAACATTAATTCAAACTAAATTAAGAAACTTGAAATTTATAAAAATTAAATTAAATTGCTTATTGAAGAATACTGTAGAAAATATATTAATATTAAAAAATTTCAAAAATATTTCAGATTCTGTGAATTTAAATAATGACAAAACATTTTTTCCATAAAGGATAAAATTTATTCATAATTAAATGAATGTTTTTACTCAAACTTGTAACTATGAGATCCATCTAAAAATATATAAAAATACTAATAAAATAATTATAAAAAAATATATTAAAAACCATCGTTTTTAATAATTTTTTTTCAGATAATCAGTCTTTACTTGTTTGCACTATTAACCAGTACACGGAAAGGATTAGAGAATTATTTTTCTCCATACTGGTTAATAGTGCAAACAAGTAAAGGATATAAAAATACTATTCAAGGATTAAATTTAATAATATAGAAAAATTATAATAATATTTATTTTTTATAAAAAGATAAAATAAGATACAGGAATATTCAATATATATAGCAACAGTTATATTTTCTGTGTAGGCAAGTAGTGATCTATACATTTCAGTTATTGAGATAGAGAATTTGCATGGATGTAGAGTGCATATGAACACAAGTTATATTCCATAATTTCTTTTTGAAATATTGATACATCAGGAAATTAATGTAATACACTTAAGGTCTGTAATGAACTGACTGATCAATGCATTTTGTAGAAATGAAATTTATTTAATAGAAAGTAAGCTTTAAGTTTAGTCAGTGTTTGCACTCAACTTCAACTAATAATAATGTAAAAACAATATTGTGGATAAGTGAAAATGCAATTCAATATTTGATGAAGATTAACTACAATATCATTGCATCTTTTAACAGTGGATGAAGTTTAAAGACTGCTAATGTTTTTGACACAGTTGAAAATAGAAATAATAATTTCCACTTTTAACTATCCACGCATCAAGTTGGCTCATTAACCAGGTCAAAAATGTTAGCTTTTTTTAAATTTCACCCATGTTAAAGATGCAATTGTTAATTCAACTGAGTAACCACATTGGCTAGTTCATCTTTAAAAGGGATGTCCTTAAACATTAATCCTTATTTTCTGAGTACAGTAAAATGGTCCACTAAAACCAGATATTTAAATTGCTCTTCAATCAGAGGTTTAATCTGTCTTTGCTTACTTGGAGAAGAAAATTAATTCATAAATGGAACATTTATTTCGGTGTCACTATGCTTTTTACACTTTTTGACATGAATAAAATTATTATTAGAAATAGGGTTATTTCTTGGATGTTGTGAAGGTAATTTACAGTTCAGTTTAATAAATTTTGGTAACATTTTTCTGGCTTTATCCGATAAAAATTAATGTTGTGACAATGCATTTTGCCATGGCAATTGTAAAATTCACTTTAATACAAGAATTTGCTTTATAGTTGTTCATTTTAAGGTGAGTCAAATGTATAAGCTTGAAGAATTTAAGTAAAAACATTTCATTAAATTATGAGTTTTATTTTAACATATTTTTTTTTTATGCATACAAATTTAATTATGTAAAAAAATTAAATTCAAGAAATTAATTTTTAATAAATAACACTTTTTTAACAAAAGTTTCTGCTTAATAACTTTTGAATATTTCTTCACAGAATGCATGGAATGATCATTAGATCTTTAAATACATATTTCCTATAAATAAAATTGTATTTTGTGTGTCATGCATAAGAGTCTTAGTGTTATTTTGTGAAATAAAATTGTTAATCTTCATTGATTTGCAAATTAGAATAAAAATTTGTTGATAAAATCACTCAAATGATACAGCAATAAAGTATATTTTTAAAAATTTAATTCTGAAAAAAATTATTTTGGTATCCCTTTTAAAAATAAAAAATATATATATTTGAAAATATTTCTTAACAATAGAAGTATGTTATATACATTATTATTATTATTATTATTATTATTATTTAAAATTGATTAACTGAATTTAAATATTTCAGCTGTAAAAGTGAGGCTCTTTCATCAGTTTGAATAAGTTTGTAAATAAATTTTACTATAGACTTTTATACCATTATATGTTTCATTTCTATAAGTATAAATCCCATATTAATTGAAAAAAGGAAAAAAATTGTTTCTGATAGAGAACAGAAGCACATTCTTTAGTTTTCATATTATATATGCAAATTTGTCATTTCTCAAAATGAGAAAATGTAAGATGCAACTAGTTTTGAAAACACTTGTTACTATTGAACAGTGCAAAGCAATTTATGCAGACATATAAATTGCATTGCACTATTCAAAATAGTAAACAAGAATTTGCAACAAATTGTATCCTTTTTATGAAGTCAACTTTGGCCAATGATGTTCAGAGTCAAAAATGTGCATATTTTAAGTAAAAAAGGAGAATTGTATTAAACATTGAATATATATATATATTCAATTTGCATTTAACTTTAAGAATAATTATGCATTTTTAAAATGATGAAAATTTCTTATATGATAATATCTAATACTCCATAGTTGTTATAATAATAAAATTAGAAAATTGTCCAGATTCATCTCTAATTAAACTCATTTTTACACCTAGAACAGTAGTTCTTAACCTTTCTAGCTGTCCACATTCCTTGAAATTTTAAAATATGTTGTAAATAATTCAGTAGATAGCCATTTTCTCATGTATTCTAGCATAATACTGGGTGTAGCTTTTGTGATCAAGAATAAAATCATGTGTGTCCATTAATTAATATAAAAATAATTAGGTCTGTTATGAATTTTTTATAAAGGTTCAAAAAAAATTTATTCTTCAGAAAGTATTTGGCAGAAGTCTTGCATCTCCCAGCAACACAAGAACCCCATTTACTTTTAATCTTCTCTCTGGTCACTAAGGTCTTTAATTCAAGCTCATTGTGACTGGCCAGACCCACAGTGGGGTGGTTGGGTGGTGAGACATGGTCCAGCATGTCTAGGATAGACTATCCAAAAAATTCCAAGAGTTTTTTGACCCACTGGATTTGGGATATCTTGGGTTAAGAACTACTGACATAGAAACTTTATTTTTATGGTGGACATTTTATTTATATATTATTACATGCTTTTTGTATGTTAATAAAGCAGCACAGATTTTACAGAATTATTCAATGTAAGCAGTTATCATTTATTTGTAATAATTATTTTGGCAATGTTTATTATTTGATAGGATTAAATAAAATTTATTTTATATCACCTAATTTATTGTTATATTCATTGTTTTATATCCTTAAGTAAAATTACTATACCCATTCATTTTTAAGTGTAATTTAAAGTATACATTATAAAAATATAATTTTAATTTAAAAACATTCAAATCTACAAAGAATCCATGAAGTCATAGTTTGAAGTTACTGTATTTATTTTCATACTTTCTCTATTCCTTGAACAGATTTTAATTTTTCCTCATGTTATTCTTAACATTAGCTTCAATGTTAATGGCTGGAAGTCTAGAACAGCTTTTGTTTTTAGGAATTCAGTTACTGTGAACTATTGTACAAAGTACTTCAATAATTTGGTTCAAGCATTGTGAAAGAGAGAATCTTTTTCACAATTTCACAAAGTAGTTTTGAACCCAAACATAAATGACTTTCTCTCCTATTGTATATTTGGTGGTATTCTTCCTACTGAGGTCTATCAGAAAAAAATAATAATAATTAACTCAGGATACAATCTTATTCATATGAACTTTATGGTCACTCTGTATACTTTCATACATTTTCAGTGAATATTTAAGTATTTTGGTACAAATGCTGCTCTGAATGAGTTAAGCCCTTATCAGAACTGTAGACCATGTCTGTAGGAGTAAAAAATGTCAAAGGAACCAATGATCTATATGTGACCTTTGCAAGATATAGCCCCCTGAAATCAGTCTCTGACAGTCAGTGTAATGGTGTGTGTTTTGTGAGTTTTTAGCCATCTCTAGTAAAGTGGAAAGCAGTTAATTTTTAGCATTGATTTTAGAAATAGTTCTGGATTTTTTTCACTTTTAATTTTACTCCATTTTTGAGGGTCTAAAATTCCAAATAGGCTGATTTCTGTGGTTATATCTCACAAGGGTCACATGTAGACAATATTCTGCATGTTCCATTGGTTCCTTTGGCTTTTTTACTCCTGTGAGCATGATCTACAGCTATGATAACATCCCAACCATCTCATTCAGAGCTGCAATTTTAAGTTTTGTTTCTCTTTTTTTATCAAGATTCATGAATAAAATTTAATTTATAATTGGAATTTTCACCATCAATTATTACACAAAAATTTTTTTCAAAGTAGTAATTTAATTTTTACAATTTTATTAGGTAAATTAAACTATATTTAAGAAAGTTTATGATAATATATATTTAGAACATTGTTAAATAAATGACATAAAATGCATTTAATCTTAGCATTAAACAACAAAATATCTTAAGTTTTAAATGTAAAGATNGTTTTTTGACCTACTGGATTTGGGATATCTTGGGTTAAGAACTACTGACATAGAAACTTTATTTTTATGGTGGACATTTTATTTATATATTATTACATGCTTTTTGTATGTTAATAAAGCAGCACAGATTTTACAGAATTATTCAATGTAAGCAGTTATCATTTATTTGTAATAATTATTTTGGCAATGTTTATTATTTGATAGGATTAAATAAAATTTATTTTATATCACCTAATTTATTGTTATATTCATTGTTTTATATCCTTAAGTAAAATTACTATACCCATTCATTTTTAAGTGTAATTTAAAGTATACATTATAAAAATATAATTTTAATTTAAAAACATTCAAATCTACAAAGAATC